GAGCCCGGTAAAGAATTGGGTGGGGGCGGAGCTGCAATTCAAAGGTTATGGATGGAAGCAAAGAGGAATGAGGACAAAAGGAGTGAAGAGAGTGCTGGAGAGATTAAAAAAAGGAGACAGTATACTGAACGCCCATGAAGTTGAAAGCGTCCACTGGACTAGGAATACCGTCAGTTCTGAGAATCCGAGGTTTTTGTTCCGAACTCAGGAACCGCATAACACACTCGAGATAGAAACGTTTAGATTAAACAGTGGTAATAAATTATTTTGAAAATAAAACCTAATATTGTTATTTATGATACGAGTGGTAAAAATGGCATTGTATTTTAGGAGTAGAAAAGATTGTGACGCGAGACAGATTGACCGAGGGGTGAAATACTACGATCAAAATAAAATCACTTTTACCATGTGTGTCATCGTACACTTCTTTTTACAAAGTATCGCTTCTTTTCATATAATTTTAATTCAAGCCTACAAATCACTTGAATGTGTTCTAAGTTACGAAGGTCAGTAGTGACTGAAACCGACTGGTGAAAGTATTTTGTTTTCTTTGTTGCATTCGCATTTTATTAGAGCCTTTGACCAATGTCTCTCTTTTAGAACTATTGCTAAAAATTGAACATTTAACTCTCTCTGTATGCCTCAAAAGTAACCTCTTTTGCTAGTGGCGTTCTAAAAATAATATTTTGCGAGCTGAATGAGATGTTGAAGCTCATTCAAAATGAAATGTAAATTTAACGCGAAGACCGTTGTTCTAAATGTAAAGTCAACGCAAAAAGCAACTGGCATCGTGGCAAGTGGATTTTCTCAGAATGATGAACATAAACCTAAGGTATTAACTTCCACGTTTACAACGTAGTTTGTAAGAGCATAAGTTGCACCTCATCTCAGTCAATCACGAAACCCTTAGTAGAATCATTTATTAGACGTTCTGATCGTGTCCACTTTACGTACTTTCGAGCAACTGTACGAGGATGATTCATAACTTATCACCGAACTAGGAATATCTGTAATATATGAACAATATGCAATTTTTTATAAAAATCTCTTCGCTTCTCAACACACCTACCATACCGATTCCCAAACTTTTTATTTATCAAGTAAAAAAGTTTTTGATAGTAACCAAAATTACACCGCTTTCTTCACGTCGGCATTGCTCTCAAATCCCTGTCCCAACGCATGATAATCCAAACAAGCAAGATCTAGAATGCACGGAGACCGTTTTAGGATATAAAAGTTCAGTTTTGAATGATTTCAAGAGATGGAGCTGCGGTGTGGGTACGGAGTGTTGTGATGAAAGAAAATAATTCCAGTTCTTTGCGACATCGCATTGCTGGACTCTTTTCCAACTTTGCGCTGCACCGAGCACTACACATTGGTTAACACATTTCCAGAGAGTGGTCCAAAAGTGGTCTCTTAAGGCATAGATTTGAAAGGAGATTGTTGAGATGACCAAACCTTATCTCGAAAATGATATATTCTCATTATTATATCGATATGTCGCTGAATTTTTTTATATATTTCTGAAAATCGTAATAAATTCATTGATGAATACGTCAAAACACGTTATTATGTTCTTACGTATACTTCGAAGCTCCAACAGCACGTACTTTCTCACATTTCTAAATTTGCCGGTTTCGAAAATTTAAAAAGATTTACCAAAATGAGAACCGTGACATTATTTTAAGCGACCCTTATTCTATTCTAAAAAACTCCGAATAACACATTCAGAGCAGTTCTTATAAAAATGTTTTTTTTATAAATCGCATTAAATTCGATCCCAAAATAAAGCGAAAACTATTCTTTTTTCTAAAAAAACGTATATGATCTTTCTAAAGAGTTTATATTTTTGCCGAAAACGTTGTCTAAGAGAAAAATCTCTATTTTCAAGTTTGTACCTGTAAAATATTAACTTTTGGCAATGTTTAAATAAACGGAGATTTAGGAGTAAATAGGACTAGCTTCACATTTTTCACAGTCCTTTGAGACCCAAGAGCACAAAATATAAAGAAAAAATTGGTGTCGTTTTAGATAAAAAAAGTTTTCTAAAATTTCAAGAATGCCTATAATTTGTGCAAAATTACACGAAAACAATTCGTAGTTTCAAAAAAGAACACATGACCGTACTTCAAGATCATACTTTCAGGAACAGATTTTATTAAGGAAATATATCTCTATATTCAATATTATAATTGAAGAAGGACGCATCCAAAAAATTCCACTTTTGCAATTTTCGTACAATCTTGGATTTTAACAAACAGAAGACATGCGTCGTTCTCTTAAAAGTCCTTTACGCTATTCGAGGACAAATATTAATAAAAACTTGGAACCATTTTTTAAGACGACAGTTTCTTAAAAACGGCTTCCAATTTTTTCACAAAGCAATCCTTTATGACTAGGTTTTACTCTTCTATGATATTCTTAAATAAATATTTCGGTTCTACCATTAGTAAACCAAAAAATTGAGAATTTGTTTTGACAAATGTATTCTTGGCGGCGATAGATGATAGCTGGCAAGAGGATTTTAGCACGACCAAAACGCTAGCCCCAAGACAGTAGCAAATTAACTAGTACGAGAAAGTCTGTGCCATTCTGTAGCACCACTAGTTGATTTGTGCTTTACAATACATAGTATATGGGATATTTTCGTTCTGGAAGGCCATTTAAAAACATTCAGTGACAATTTTTTGTGAAAAATGGTGAAATTCTTTTCTATCACGTACCAGAAGTTCGTCGCATACATTACTTGCCTGTGTGTTTGCCGTTTGTTTTGAAGCGAGTCAGGCCTTGAGACGACAACGTGAGGATCGCTGTGAGACGCGACGAAAGAGATGAGGGATGTGTGACCTGTAAGGCCGAAATGAAGTGTCTATTTACACGACGTGCTCGGAGGGGGCGATCCAAATCAATGATCACGAGAAGCCCTTCCGCGAATTTCGTCTTGCTGGGTATTCCGGTCAGTCGATTTTTGCTGGAGAATGTAAGTAAAGATGCCAGATATGCAGGGGTAAGAAAAGCAGGTACGTAATTAAGTCGATCGTGTAGTGTGTTAGCATTAATATATTAAAATGAATCGCAGGGAATAGGGTAAAATATTTAAAACTAGTGAAAAAATAAAGAATTGGATAACTTAAAAGGAAAATGTCCAAAACGAAGTCAATTGTGTGAATAGATTTAGCAGAGGAACAAGTATCAGCAGACTATTCTTTTTTAGGTCGATAAAGAAAAATGAAAATGGAGAAATAACAAACCTGAGAGGTATAAAGTTGATTGAATTGAAGTATAGAACAGTAAAATAGAAGAAAACGACGAGTTTGTATAGACGGTACGTCTCAAATTCCAGACGTTTCCGTATAAGAATGTGGCAAGAACCGGGTTGGTAATGAAAGATGTGAGTGATAAACATTTACCAAATTTCAATTTTGTTACAGTTTATCGCTTATTGAAAGAAATTAGATTTGAATTTGAAAAGCGAGAAAAAATACTCTAATAACAGAAAGAAATGATTTTTTTGGCGAGATTCAAATCTACGAAAAATTCGGCTTCTTAGACTGAAAAGGAACAATGTGCTTAGATGAAAGTTGTATAAACGTTAGTTTAGTGTATTGTTTATTGTGTAAAACTATTAATCTATATTTGTCGGCACAATCAACAATTAACGAAAATATTTGTTCATGTTACAAGAGAATACTTGTAAATGGTTCCGTGTATTAAATAAACAAATTACGGATGTAATAATAATAATAATAATAATAATAATAAGTGTGCGAATAAACATTTGTTTCAGTAAACGCATAAATTGAGAAAGGTAGACGTGATTTTTATTATTATTATATCGTGTAGGTAACAACTCGCGGATTCTCCATAAGATACATAGTACCTTTACAACCTGAAAGGCAGTATACAAGTGTAGATTCCAAAGAAAGAAAAAATAAGCCTCCAGAGAAGTAAAAAAATGTGAAACGTAATGAGACACGCGATGTAAAAGCAAAAGAAGACTCTTTAAAAACTGGAGTAAAAATAACGAGCAACTCAAGCAAAATAAAAAAGAAGGTGCAACGATGTTACAGTGCTTTCTTGTACGACATCCGTATTTTAATCAAATATTTCAAATGTGTGCCTATTTGTTTTGAATTTTACTGTCTGAAAATACTAGAGGATACCCTACAAAACGTGGTCTTTATAAGCACTATAAGGAGAATATTATCACATATATGCTTTCGCTTTCTGAAATTTGACGCCAAGCCTCTGTCGCAAACGTAAACTCTGGTTGAGACTAATTAAATCTATTACTGGCATTTTCCCCCATCTCCAAGATTTATTTTCTCTCCAAATCGCGAATTAAACGTGAAAGGTCTGGGGCATCCGATCTTCACAGCAATACAGGGTTTCGTCATTCCTCCCTTAGAGTTCACATTCAAGCAGGCTATCTAATGACGTCACACGAAGTAAATATAATATGCTAGCCGACATTTCCCAGAAACGAAAGCATTGAGCGAAGCCCTTCAAGACCGTAATAATAAAAACTTCGCGAAGAGTGGAAAGGCATTTTAAAGGTGGGACCATAAATCAAGCGTGTTAACAATCGTGAAGTAATTAATTATCTCCCTCTTAATTATACTCCTTACTCTAATTTCGCCAACTCAGAAATAAAGCATTATCTCATTGGTTTCTCTGATTTATTCTTTTATGACCATTTAATTATTTTCATTAACAAAATATTATTTATTGAAGGACAAAATTAACATTCCAATTTCTTCTAAAAAATTATATCTGTCATTTTAAAAGAATAATTATATAAATAAAATTTTGAAAATCAAAATTTTATAAAAAACACTGTATAAACTTACGAACTATGTAATCGCTTATTTATGATTTTAGGATATTTCCTAATCTTTTCAGAGATTTAACATCAGTATAAATGTACTTAATCAATAATTATGTCAATGCAACAACTCACAAGAGACCTTCGATGCGCATCTGGCAAATTTGTTTTTCAATCACAATTTCTCTTTCACGTCAGACTGGCCTTTCTCTATGGTTACTGAAGTACGTACCTGAAAACAAAGTTTTAATAATTACATTACAGCATGAACTTCCATTTGAATGGGAACTGATTGGATAAATCAAGAACAAAAGAACCTTTGCAAATTTGCAATGAATTCAGTAGATATAAATTATATTAATGCTGATACGTTGTTCATTTCCGAATTTCAATCTATCCGTCACTCTGTCATTCAGTTCTTCCGTCCGTCACTCAGTCATTCCACTCGTTAGTCAGTTATTGCGTTCATCAAGCAGTCCATGTGTCAGTCATCCTTCCATCGGTGCGTTCGTCTGTCAGTCATTCCTTTAGTCAGTCCACCCGTTCGTTGGTCCGTCCACACACGTAATGTTTTAAATACCTCTCACATTAATAAATTTTAGGCGTGTTTATAATGTATTGCATTTGTGAGTACAAGTGCTTCAAATGATTTCTTATAACTTTTATCTAAACCTAGGCGCCCATAAATAGCAGGGAAGATGGCTGGTGAAAACCGGAATCCATTGCAGACTCACGAGAACAGAAAACTAACTAGTTCAAAAAAGACTGTGCGACTCTGTAGCGACAAAAGTGTCTAAAATTTGATAGTGAGACAGACGCTTTGTACTTAAGTCAGGAAAAGGAGACCACGATTGCAAATTACATTTCATTTTCTCTACTATTACAGTTATTATTAGTACTTTCACAAATATTTGCTTCGACGGAAATACGAGTGGCAATTTTCCATTAAAATCGTCTCGGTTTCTGTTGCCCTGTGACGAAGAAAAACTCAGACCGGTAGAGTTTGCTAGTTACGGTAAAGTGAATACGTCATGTTCACCTGATGCTGAGAATTAAACTACGCCCAGGCACGGGGAACACAGCTGACCGGTAAACTCGGACAACTGACCCAAAATGACAAAACCAAACTTACAAATATGTGTGTATTAAGGCAGTATTATGAAGGATGATCATTTTCAGGCCGGGGACTTCAGTCAGCCACCTCAGGAATAACGAGGAGAACACTTCAAACGGCGGTTGCGGGGAGCGATGGTATCTAATCCACGTGAAGCGGCGGCATCGCGCGAATGTCGCACGTTACCACGGCCCTCTTTCCCTCCCGGTCCCGCCTTCCCCCGCCCTCCCGACCGCGACCCTCCCTGCCCCGTCCCGGTCGCCCTCCCTTCCATTCAACCCCACCCCGACTTCCCCGCCGCGCCCGTCCTCCCCGCTCCGTCCTCCCGCTCCGTCCTCCCAGCTCCGTCCTCCCAGCTCCGTCCCTCCCGCTCCGTCCTCCCCGCTCCGTCCTCCCCGCTCCGTCCTCCCCGCTCCGTCCTCCCGCTCCGTCCTCCCCGCTCCGTCCCTCCCGCTCCGTCCTCCCCGCTCCGTCCTCCCCGCTCGTCCTCCCCCGCTCCGTCCTCCCACCCGGCTCACCCATCCTCGGCCGTCACGCCCGGCCCGCCATGCCTGTTCAGCCCGCCCCGTGCCGTCCCGCCCTCCCCTGTGCCGCGCCGCCACCCCACCCGCCCGCGCCCGCGCCGCCTTCACCACCCGCCCTTCCGCTCCGCCGCCGCAGCTTCCGCGTTCCGGGCGCCTGGCGCCATGAATATGCAGCGAGCGACGGCGCGGGCGGGCGGGCGCCGCCGGGTCGCGTTGCCGCCAGTCCATCAACGGAGGCATGCGCCTGGCACAGCGCGACGCCACCTGCGCCCGACAACGCGATTCAACACGCCCTTCGGCCATTGTTAGGGAATATGAGAAACGTGGAGCGGGAGTAAGGGCTCGGAAATTCAGAGAATGGCGGATATGAATAAAATAAAACCACGTACCCACTCTTGTGTGAGAGATCCATGGCGTACAAGTAGTCAGACCCCTAACCGGTACCGAGGATCAAAGCTCGGAAATTGGTGTGGAAGTTGTGGTGGACAAAATGCGCTAAATATTGAAAATACTGAAAGCTATGTGAAAATCAAAGAGGTTATTGTATAATAGATACGCTTTTCATTAGACATCTACATAGAGATCGATGTTTACCACCTCCTGAGATAGCTGAATCACAGTTTATGATTGGCCAGTAGGTAGAAGTATAATCGTATAGAAAAAGCAATAAAGTTTTTTACTTACATCGAGATACACTCTGATTGGAGCATTTTGTGTGTAGAGTTAAACACTATTGATTTTAATTTAAGAAGTGGAATAGTCATATTAATTACCCATAATGTATTCAAGTCTTCATAGGTATAGGTGGAAAGGATTGGGGATCATAATACAGGTTACTCAGCACTACATGCGTGAGAATTTATTTGCTTCTGACTGCATTATCGTTTATTCTGTATTTAAAACTGTTTTTTTTTTTCAATTTTGCATCTTGCAAGTCTATTAATAGATTTCATCGGGTGATACGGTTTATTCAATTTTTTTCGAAACATTTATCAGAAGTATTGAGAAGTCAGCGAAGCGTTCCTCTTAGAATATTATCAAGTCAATAATTGTCTTTAGGTTAACAGACGTTTCCTGATCTTATAGTCTTCATTATTTTACCAACCTCAAACGTAATCTCTTATACAATATACACATTTGTAGCAGTGTAGGTTTTCCTTCCATTTTTACAAACCTTTCTACATTGTGTAACATTTGGATCACCAATGAGAGTATTTCCGGGATTATGAGATCATCTCCCGTGAGAATCAAGAAACGTTCCAAGAATGTAAGAAACTGTAAGAATGATTAAAACTTTGATAAACTAAAAAGTAAAATGCAGGTTTTAAACATAAAATATTCCAGAAAAGACAATTACAAAACCTTTTTACATACTGAAAGGTGGATTATCAGTTTTCCTTAGATTCAGATTCTCTCACAATGAAATTGTAGAGGCGGAAACTGATCTCGAAGTCCAGATAAATAGAAATAATTTAGAATTGATGCGTCACATTTTGGCAGAAGAAAATGAGAATTTGAATTGATGTCATCCTTCGCGAATTTTTCAAATTCTTAATTTTTATTTTCTAACGAGTCTTACATCCGAAAACATAAAAAATGAAAACAAAACCTAACTTACATTTTTTACACGGCTAAATTTCATCTTACTTATACTGGCAGACATCAAACTCAGAAAGAGTAAGCAAAATGTGTTTTTTTAACGCCGTTCACCACACAAACCAACTCTTAAGTTCAGATGCCACCAGAAGAGATTTTACTCCATTGTGAATCTCGTGAGTTTGTGAATCTCGGTACGGTATGAATTTCGGTAACCGCTGCGTCATTTTTCTTTCTGGCGCGTGTGTTATAGCTAGATCTCTTTACGCCCATCTGAAGTGCAAAATTCACATTGGCGCGCCTTAAATTCTGCCAATTGCGCTGCCGTGACGCGGGGCGAATACTTCGAATGAAACGCTGAATGTTGCAAGTGCCTTCATTCAATTTTACAAGAACGTCGCCACTCATGGGACTCATGTGAACATCGTTAAAATGTGTTACTGCAGACTAAATTGCAGGTAAACTGTAAACGCGTTTCTCCTGGTGTTTAATGTTTTACGTTCAAAATTACAGTTAAAAATGAGAGACAAATGAGAGATGAGGTACTACATCATTTTCTTCATTTCCCTATAGAGTGTTTAAAATGAGTTTATCAGTTCTTCCCCGCTGCACAAAGAAATAGTTTGTACAATCCTCTAGAAAATTTAATTTTCACACTGTATTTGATATTCTACTGTTATTTTATTTAGGCTCATACATCATCTATAAATCACGATATATAAATAACTTATATTCAGGTCTCTATATCTGAAGTGAAATTACATTATGACTAAGAAAGTTTTATCCACAACATTTTAATGATTGCTAAAATCCAAATATTATGATTAAATTGTTTTAACTACTGAAAATAGTAATACAAAACACGAAAAAATAATTCAAACCCTTTAAATGCAGTAAATTTAATAGTTTTGAAACGCATTTAGAAATAATTCCTTTACCAATGTAATAATAGCGTTTTCCAAAACTCAATTGAGAATCCAAAAAAATATATTTATTTATTATATTGTACACATTGTTTGAAAGCCGGTTTAATTGGTAGCTCAAAACTCGTTAAATGTATAAACAATTACATGTTACAACTCTTAGCTTATTATTACATTTTGTACACTTCAAATACGATTTTAAACTGTTAATTCCAGTAAAACCAACACATGATCGTGGATAGAGTATATTAATTAACTAGTGTTTTCGGACGCGACTACTGCTAAAGTCATTAGTCCTGAAAGCGTAGTGCATGTTTCCTTATCGCGGGAGGTGGCGGTGTTCTTTCCACGCTGAATAGCGAGATCCAGCGCCGGTCTACATCGGCTCGCGGGGATTTCCCCAAGCAGGTATCTCCCACCAGAGTAGCACCGCCCCGGCCGGGACGAGCTCTAAACTCGCGACTGGTCTCGCGAGTGAGTGGTAGTGTAGTGCAAGTGTAAGTGTAAGTAAGGAACGAGGTTAGGGCAAGGGAGACGAAGGAAAGTTTGCACGATGTCCATAGCCAGCTTCTTAGGACACTGCTCTCGCATTATCCTGGTATTGACCGGAAAGATCACAAACAAATATCGATCAGAGCAGCCGGCCTCTTTTCAAGACAGAGTTTGAACTTGACCTAACTATCTAGAGTCAAAAATCCTCATGGCACTCAAACCTAGATCCTCCCGGATCAGACATACTTCAGTGACATCAGTTGGTGCCCTGAGTCATCTTTCCCAGTCTCTTTGATAGGGTGTCAGATGCTATAAAGCGATTGAAAGAAAAATCCTGAAAACGACCTATTGAATGCACAAAGAATTCGCCCAATAAACAAAAATCCTCTCCCGAGCGAATGGGCCGCATTTCCGCCGTCCAAATTCCACTGGAGAAGGCGAAGCGCGTCCGACAGGACGGAATTCGCATCTGGTACCACCCGGCCACCCCCACGCACAGTATCAAAATGTTCGCCGCAATGCAGCTTATGCTAAGCATGCAGACTCCCATCAGCATACACTGGGTCCAAATCAATTCAAAAGCGGGTTCGAGTAGTGAAACAAGATAAGGATAGAGGTGGTCCTTTTAATAAAAGCCATCATCCCATTATGCTCAACTGCTAAGATAAAGTGTTCGATAGTTAATTTCGAAGTGTAATGTCAACTTTGTAGAAAAAAGTAAATTCTACAGAAAGTTAGTTTTCAGCTAAAGAAAAGTATCTACATTAAAATTTACTGCATCTCTGCAACTGTTATCGTAAAATACTCAAATAAGACAGAAATCTGTTTTTGTTGCACCTTATTACTTAGGGTTTAGGGATATGCTGCCAAAAACGATTATTCGGGTAGGAATTCTCCATAAGCAATAAAAAATTAAAAATCTACCGAGCTCTATAAAATGGCGTACTATTGGAAAGTCATTGCGGTTCAACTCGGTTGTTTCCGCGGCGCACAAATCTGTTTAACAATTTCACTGAGTGGGGTAAGATAGTCATGAGATTTGAATTTGCAAAATATCACAACATCCTTTCGAAAATTTATCTTTATCAGCGTCTTTCTTGACTTTTTGTGGAGGCTCCGAACCAAAAATGAAATAATATTTTATCAATCTTACAAGTTCCTTCAATTTTTTACGTTGTTTTGTGACTCTTTTAAATAAATTACTGCTAGCATATAGAAGAAATCGTTCATAATCGGGCATTTTGCGGCACAAATAATGACGCATTTTACGACATGAATGATTGCGTCATCACACATTCAGCCAATCGCAGCGAGAGAATTGTGGGGAGGTAGAAGTAAACGGAACAGCCGACCACCAATTTCTCGCATAGATATCAAATGCCCGAGACGTCCCAAAATTAAGCTTGATTCTTCTATAAATGTATAATGCTATTATACAATAAATAGCTAATACAACTCGCTTATAATGTTGCTTTATTGCATTCGTACAGATTTGAAAACTCGCTCCTAACGTCACTCGTTTTCAAAACATGTACTCATGCAATAAAGCTTAACATTACAAACTAAGTGCATAAACTACTATTACTAAGAAACAACTAACTAAAAACTACTGAGAAATGACTCCGGTAGTCTAAGGCTGCCCATTGTTGTAAATAATTACTAAACATGGAGCCAGAGAGTGGAGGTGTTTTCATGCAAGTGCCCCTGATGCCATGTGTTGGACGATTTGTATTTTAATCAACCTTAGCAACATGTGTTTTAATAACAAAATATGTATAATCTATTGTAATTCAATTATAATTAATAATAAATGTTATTGTTTTATATTAAATATCGTTTATCATTGAGTATGTGTTATTTACTTCACACGTAGTTAATATGCAACCTACAGCACTGATGAGAGAACAATAAGATTCCGAAATGTTGGCGAACTAAGAATTATTTTTTTAGTGAAAAGACCAACAACCATGAACAATTCCCTAGAATAATAGTGTGGTCGTGAATTCAAGAGCAATCGTCATTTACGTCCGCATAACTTTGACAGTTCCGTGCCAGAGTGTGGAGGCGTTTTCGAGCAGGTGCCCCTGATGCACGGAAGTCGCGAAGGCGGCGGTTCGCCCGCCAGTGCGGAGGTTGCGGCCCACTGCGCGCGTGCCGCTGCGTCGCGTGCGTCGTTTCGCGGCCAACGGCGCGCGTTGGCCCCACGCGAATGGGCCGCGGAGGCATTACGCCCGCTGCAACGCGCGCCCAACGCCGCCCAAGTGGCCCTTGTTCGCGCGTCTGCGGCAGCTCGCCCCTGCTGCGATGGCTCAGCTCAACGCCGCGTTAAAGACGGACTTTTACACTCTGAATGCGAGAGCCCGCACTGCAATGCTCACGCGAGGACTTGTAGTTTAGATACGGGAATATGGAATTGTTTTGGTTAAAGCGGACGTTCTCGGCATGAAATTGTATTTTAGGGTTAAATTTATACGCTTTCATTCCAGATGCGCATGATGTTTTACATTAATTGATGGAATATTTATTTTGCTTGTTTTACAATAGTCAGTATTCAATAACACAAAGAAGCAATAAGTAAAAATCCAATAGACTCTGAATGCGAGACTCCGCACGGTAATGCTAGCGCGAGGACTTGTAATTTAGATACGGGAATATGGAATTGTTTTGGTTAAAACGGACTTTCTCGGCAAGAAATTGTTTTTTTGTGTTAAATTTATACGCTTTTATTCAAGATGCGCATGATGTTTTACATTAATTGATGGAATATTTATTTTGTTTATTTTACAATGGTCAGTATTCAATAACACAAATAAAAAATAAGTAAAAATTCAATAGAGTCAGAATTTTCAGACAGAGATACAGTGCGGTTTTTGAGTCGGCAATTTTTTCGTGAACAAGATTTGTTGCTCTACACACGTTATTTACAAACGGTTAGGGCACAATATGGATATGCTAATTTCTTTGTTTATATGTTATTAAAACATATTATACAGTTCTCCAGTTCTCCTGTATGGAAGTGAATCATGGATAATGAAAAAAAGAGATCAAAGTAAGCTCCAAGCAGTAGAAATGAGATTTCTTAGGAAAGTTAAAGGCTGCATTAAACAAGACCAGATAAGAAATGAGGATTCCGTAAAGAACTAGATATATACAACATAAATGAAAGGATCTTAGAAAACAGAAAAGAATGGCGGCGCCATATCGAAAGAATGGAGGAAGATCGTATTCCACAATTAGTGATGAACTACCAACCGAAGGGAAGAAGAGATATCGGCCGACCCAGAAAGAGATGGTCCTGAAGTGCAAAGTGAAGACGGAACAGGCATTCCTGCCCAATCCTTGAAATGGAGAAGAAGAAGAAGAAGCAGAAGAAGCAGAAGAAGAAGAAGAAGAAGAAGAAGAAGAAGAAGAAGAAGAAGAAGAAAACATTATAAAGAGTGGCGAATTCCGGAGAAACGATGAATTGTTATGAGTAATATAAATGTAAACTATTGTTTTATTTTTCATTCATTTAACAGTTTCACATAATAAAAGCTTGAAAAATCGACGTCAATTTGTGCTAAGATATTGTTCTCTGGTGAGGAAGAAAGTAGAACCACAGTGCAGTTACAGATCTTGGTTAAAAGTATGTTTCTGTTTATACAACATATCCCTATACAGTATCAGAGAAACTCTGAATGTGCAGATGTGAGTTTGTGCGTATATCTGAGGTTCCATCTCTCGCGGCTAGACCACTTCCCATATACCAATCAAGAAGTATGAGTCGCCAAGTGTTAAGAAAATCCTGGGAAGAATCAAATGTAGTCGCTCCAGAATTTTCGGAACTAATTGGAAATGATCTGCATTTTTGCATTTAGCATTTGTGCTAATGCAAATGAGCTTAGTGAATTTTGTGTATATTAGCAAAAATGCGTAAAGATGTAACTGTACTAGAATTTACCTATTAGCATAAAAACCTGCAGATATTTGTTACGGCTATTTTAAATTTGAAACTGGAATAAGATCAGTTGATATCCCGGATGGAGGTAAAATACAAGCCCATTGGATGTTGGGAACTTTTGAACGCGAGCATAACATTATCAAGTACTACGATTGATTGGTAAGCCCAATGATACTAGAAGAACATATTTGAACAAACCTGGGCATGAAAGAAATGAAATATGAAAGACAATTTCAACACATAAAACTATTTTTAACACATTTTACTCGTCGGTGATGCCCCATTTTACTAGTTAAGATGTATTTTGTATATGTCTCTATTTGTCCTTAAAATAGTACTCTCTTTCTTGTTATATGGAATACTTGTCTGGATGTTTGCGGTCATTATAATTTGGTTGTAGTTTTTAATGAAATACTTTTGTTCTGTACCATGCGCTCTGATGAAATAAAACACTTCGAATGAAGGCAAGGTACTAAATTGAAATTTTATTTTTCTACCCCCATTGTAATTCATTCATGGCATTCGATGGCTGCAATCCACAGCATAATGATACTCATTACGATGATTTCATTATGATATAGATTCTTGACGAATCACAGGGAAGTGTACAAACCAAATATTGATATTTAATTAGTCATTGAAAATCTATCTAGTAAATATTTCGTCCGTTTGTACAGTAAAATTGAATTTAATATAATATTATGCTTATCAGTAATCATTACTTTTATTCTTAGTATTTTTACGTGGAATTTTATTTAAAATAAATTGGATTGTCATTTCACTTTGATCCTATTTGACTGGTGAGTTAATAGGTGGCCTTGACTGAATCCTGTATGTCAGCAGCCAAGAAACAATTCAAACTAAAAGTGTAACAAATAAAAGTTACAAGTTGTAGAAAAAGTACCTAATGAAACTCGATGTAATGGGTATTAATACACTGGTGTGAAGTTTACAATACGCCCTCGTTCCTCGGTCTTGTCGTAAGATCACACTTGTGAATTAATATCCAAATTGCATCATTGTTTAGTATTAAGTACTGTAACCGACTCATCCCCGTCAACATGCTACTGTTTTTTTTTAAATTTTTTCCCCTTTAAATATTTGGGCGAACTCGATGAACGTTTCAGTGAAACAAATTTGCGCATTTATAAGTCAGAATAAAAATTAACTCGACAAATAACTATTAATAACTTTCTAGTTTTCCGGTAAAGGAAATGAGGTGACTTAGGCTGATGATATTATACGTACAAGAGAAAATATAACGAACAAGAGAGCGTTCAGTGCGCAGGTCGCTATAGAATTCTGCGCGACGATGTGCCTCAGGTGTGTGAAGACTGTTGAGCGGCGTTAACTTTTTTGCTGAAGACACTCCATACAGAAGAACGTTGTAAGTAGGATGAAGTCGCTGGGCGCTTCGTAAAAGTTGGGGCAATGCGCGAATACTCGGAAAGAGGGGAGAAAAAGCGGATTAAAGGTTTGAAGGAAACATCAAAGGAAAAGGGGGCGCCATGGGTGCGATGAACGAAAGAAAAAAACACAACCGGCGGCGAGGCGAGAGCGGACACGGCGAAAGGGGAAATAGGTATGGATGCGCAAAGAATGTAATAGTAAAGTAACGATAGGAAAGGGAGAAGAGAAAACTCAGAAGCGCCACAAAAAGCAAAGTAAAAACAACTGTCAAACTGATTGACTCAAGAGAGAAAAGAGATGTACAAAGTGTCAGGAAACGGCATTAAGCGTCATATGGACGTGACGACGTCAGTGCACCACGTGAGGCGTTGTACCGGACGCTGAGTAAGAAAAGAACACTCCGGGCGGTGTACGTTTCAACGAGGTAAGAGAATCGTTCGACATGGCACGCGCTTGCGGCAGGGGCGTCGGCGCGCGCGCGCGAGGGAGAGCGGGGAAAGTGCACAGAAGAGGAGCGTAAAAGCAGTTGGCGGGCAGTCGCCCATTGAGGGGGGCGACGCCCCAAACGCGCAGCCGTGTTGCCAGGAAGGAAGGAACCGCCGCCGCGCAGAGACGGTGGTGCGAAAGCGGTTCAGGGGGGCGCGGAGACTCATCGTCGGGGCAAGGGGCGTAGAAGGAATAACGCGGGGAGACGCGTGGCGTCGCGAGGGGGATACAGAGGCGACACGTGGTCGCACTGGAGAAGCATGCATTGGGAGCACGGCGGGGGTAGGGGTGGTGCAGACGCAGCATGGGGTAGGATCGGGGGTGAAGAAGGAGGAATGAGGGTAGAATGGA